GCGAAATAAAAAACCTGAGCACACACACACACACCTGCGGCGACTGGAAGGATCAGATTCCACAATTTTCACTGATAGATTTTCGGGTGCAAAGGTCATAACTTGTGAACGTTTACGGCACAAGCGTATACGAACCAGGAAATTGTAGATAGTGTTTGATGCTATTGAAATCGGAGGCTCTAAATGATTGGGGAAACAACTGACAGATCAGAAGGCAAAATTAGTACCCAGAGAACTTGAAGGCATCCGTAGTGTCACCAATATCGCCATTCGGATGTTTCTGGTAAAAACGTAGATAAATCCAGCTAATAATAACTCCTGAAGTTACTGCGATGACAGGAATGAAGTAGAGGATGCGGAAGGCGGCACCCAGAAACACGGCCAATAAGCAAGCAAATGGAACATGTTTCATTCGAAACTTCCCTAGTGGGAGTTTAGCAAGGACAGTGTCAGGTGTAACTTGACGGGCTGCAATCAGGACACCGCCCAACAATGGACAAAGTCCATGAATGGGTACATTCCACAAGAGATCCATATCAGAGGTAATAGCATATCCAACAAAAAGGATAAATACGCACAAAAGAGCCGAAATAAGTTGAATAACAAGGAAGAACTTAGTAACCTCAAGCCACCTCCAAGAGGAAAGTATGAAAATATAAACAAGATAGATGGTTAATATATCCGAAATTACACCAAATACATTTGGATTGTAAAAGCTGAACGTGATGAGCGTCCACACCCAACAGTGTGGAGGAAGAATACGAGCGACGGTGACTGCAAGATACTTTTCGGTGTACTCGAGATATGACAAGCCATAGAAAAACAACAAGAGCACAGTTACAGGGACAACGACAATGCTGAACGGATTCCAACCGAAAAGGTGGCCGCAACGTAGGGAAAGCTTATACATCTGTCACTTGGGATACGCTACGCCAATTGTGTTAGTCAGTTGCATGAAGAGACACGAATATAGACAGGGATTAACTGAAAAACGTGAACTTCAATAAACAGTAAGCGGTTAAACGTTTATATGGCCCGCAAATGCTGCCGGTAGCCATTGGCTATTAGTACAGAACGTTCATTGGCGACTCACTGTGACTGTCGACCCTAGCAGATTATGGTCAGGTCAGGTTTTATTGAGGGAAATATAGGTTATATACAGATTAGAATACGAATGAATGAGAACGTTCGAGTTCCAGGCATTTGCATGCTTGAGGTGCTCGACCTTCCTTCTTCCTCAAAATTATAATATTATTTTTTGATCAACATTTGTTAGCGCCAAGAAGGCACTATCTGCGGACATTCGCTAATGTGCAGGATCCCTAATAGCAAAATTTGCGTGATCGAGGTACGAAATGTCGTGCTAAAAT